CTTACTGTTTGACCATTACTCATAGATGCAATAATGAACAGAGCCTAATTCAATCTGAAAATCAATAAATCTTCTGTGAATTTGGCTCTCAAATTAGATTTAGAAGTTTTTTCTCTTTGTTCGTCCTTTTACCTCATCTTCTAACTCCTTTTTTACATGCTCATTCGTTACCATCTAGTTAGCATTATCTCCTTATCCTAGTTGTAGATTGGAATTATTGATTACTTCTTAATCGTAGTTGTTCGATTGAAGTTAAAATATACTTACAAAGAATTGTCATCATGTTTAATGAGCTTCACCTTCTTATGTTGAGTATTTTCAGAAAGCTTCCCTCTTGACTATTTGCTCTTCATTAAAATCAATTGCATAAGAAAATTAACTTGCTAAAGATTTTAGAAAGAAATAAAAATCATATAAAACACATGCTTTTATACATAGAATTATCATACCACTAAAGAATATTTATTTATTAATAAAATTCTGAAATTTCTTTTCAAGTAAGAAGGAATTTTTGTAATGGAGTCGTTAAAATTATTTCACTCAACTAAGTCCCCCATTATTTAGTATTTTTAGGCAAAGTAAATAAAAAAAAGGCGAAGAAGATATCCATCTATAAGTTTATTACTCACCTTACGATTTTACATTAGCATCTGGTAATTAGGATAAGTCTATCCGTTTATGGGATGTTAAAACAGCAGTAGAGATTCAACTTCAAAATAATTGTTATGAAAATCTTCTTTCTTAGTTAAGACTGCCACTTTAGCATTGTATTTATTAATAATATTCTATAGCTCAAAATTCAATTTAGCTTTGGGAACCTTTATTTTGAGTTTTTGAAAATTAATTGGGATAAAACACCCATACAAAAATCTAAAGGAGGCTTGATTTTAGAAGGTTTTATTATTATGAGTTTCTGTGGGAAAAGTTATTTCTATAGACCTGTAAGAAAATAAGAATAAACAAAATACATTCAATTTAGTTAATTTATCATTATATATTCTTACTGATTAGCAAAAAAAAAAAAACCTTTTAGCCAAATAAAAAATTTTTTTCTTCGGCATCATTTGGGGCTTACGGGTTTGGGTTTGGGTTTGGGGTTGGGTTTGGGTTTGGGTTTGGGTTTTCACAATAGAGGGCATCTGTAAGGAGTAATTACCATAAATGACAGATTGAAGTTGAATGGAAATTAAACTATTAATACCCCTCTCATTCAACCTTCATTCTCATACCTGATGTTCAATTTAGAATAAACATAATGTACTAACTAGCAGCATTATCATTTAGAATAAGCTTGCCTATCCTAATCTTTGATATTATTTGAAAATTAGAATATATCTGATCCCTTTATTAAAATTATTGAGATACTGGCTCATAATATTTTAAGTAATTCACTTTTTTACCATTCAGACATCCGATTTCAACGCTTCAATCGCTTACTGTTTGACCATTACTCATAGATGCAATAATGAACAGAGCCTAATTCAATCTGAAAATCAATAAATCTTCTGTGAATTTGGCTCTCAAATTAGATTTAGAAGTTTTTTCTCTTTGTTCGTCCTTTTATCTCATCTTCTAACTCCTTTTTTACATGCTCATTCGTTACCATTTAGTTAGCATTATCTCCTTATCCTAGTTGTAGATTGG